GTTTCAATTCATTCTGCACATACCAAAGATCACAGTGAAAGTAGTTACATTGAGACACCTCACGAGAGTTGAGTAATGGTACCAAAGGCATGACATAGAGTGCCTCAGTTTTTCTGAAGTACCTTGAGCTGCTTCACAAGATCTTCATGCTGCTGTATCTGTTTCTCCATACCCTCCATCTTATCAATCAAATTTACATTCCGGGAAAGTTCTAGTTTCTTGATGATTGCATCGAAACATTTGCTGTGAGACACAAAACCAAAATTATTGGAAACTGGGATAGCTCAAAATTAGACATATTAAACAAGCCTTTAAGCCAGAACTTACGAAGCTTCATTGGACACTGGAAGCACATGACTCAATTCCGCGAAGAAGCACTCTACATTTAGAGGTTGTTCACTTTCTAACCGTTCTTTAGTACTTCGAAAGAAATCTTTGATACTGTTTTCAGAGCCGGCAATTCTCTCCCTCAGCTCTTCATTTTGCTTCTCAAAGTACTCGACATCTTTTTGTGCCTCTTGAGACTGAAACTTGACATCTTCGATTATTCCTCTGAATTGATCTTTTTCTTGGATGCTTTCTTCTTGGATTTTCATTGCATGAACGAGTGCTTGCTCCAGCGCTGTTATATCAAGCTTCATGCTTTCTATTTCACACAGGGACTCCAAAGTTAAGGATGAGATTGTCTCCTCTAGTCTCTCTACAGAAAGAGACGTATACTGTAGCTCTGTTTCTTTGCTCTCGAGTTCTTGCAACAATAACAAATGCTCGGATTTAGACATACACAACTCCTCTCTGAAACAGTTAACTTCTTCTTCCAAGTTCCCTGATTCAGCCAGTTTAAATTCAAGATCGTGCACACGTTCATTGAGATAGCTCACTTCCTTGCTTCTAAAAATTAGTTGATCTCGCAAGTACTCTACAAGACATAGAATAATACACGATGAGAATTATTAGCTAAGATTAAGAATAATCTAAATTGCTTGGCTCAGATAGGAATTACCAATTTCTTTATAACAATTCAGCAACTCTTTCTCCATTTTCCGAATCCTTGCCGTGTCTTCTAAGCGAGATTCCGATAATGACTTTGTGTGAAGTTCCAACCTCTGTGGTAAAGAGACGATTAATGCCCCGAAAACTCAACCAAGAGAATGAGAAATTACTTTCCCTGAAATGTTCATTAC